TGAAGTCAATGAAGTGAACTTAAAATTTATATTTACAGAGCAGTTAAAAGTTTAGGCAAAAATGAAAATTATGTTCTACGTCAGTGCTAGTAAATACGCACAATACACTGACACTGAGAAGAAACTTGCCATTTTTGCTTTGTGTGTGCACAAAAAGTATTTTCATAGATTGATAATAATCAAGGCAGGGGTGTTCAAACTCTCGGTCCTGGAGGACCGTTGTCATCAAGAGTTTGGCTCCAAACCTAATCAAACACACCTGAACCAGCTAATCAAGCTCTTACTAGATATACTAGAAACTTCCTGGCAGGTGTTGAAGCAAGTTGGAGCTAAACTCAGCAGGACACTAGCCCTACAGGACCGAGATTACACACCCCTGACTTAAGGCATGTGGTCTCAGTTTCAGTTTCCGGTTCAGTTCAGTTTCCTTAATTATTTTTGTCATTCAAAACATCACAATAAATTATAATGCAGACCGAAATTATGTTGCATCAGACCCAACAGGAACATAAAAAACACTACAGAAACCTAACATAATAAATAAGCTTTATAATTTCATGCATATATAAAAATATAGTTATATAAAAAATAACCCAATTAAAAACATACATAAAAATCACAGAAGGAAATAAATTACTACTTAAATAACTATTGGAGAGTTTGCTATAATAGTTATAATAATTTTATTATAATAATATAATATAATATTGATATTTTGTGCTAATTTAACTATTTAGCTATTCAACAGTATTTAAGATACGGTATAACTCAAAAGTCTTATAATGACAGGATGAAAACTATCACGAAACCGCACTGATTTGCTCCTCAGGCTCCCTGATGGCATGAGCTTGAGCAGACTATGGCCAAGGTTTTAAGGATGTTGTTTGATACCTTATGGGACTTTGAACATCTATGGAGGATGAGGGAGCTCTCAGATTTCATCTTGCATATCTTAATTTCTGTTCTGAAGATGAATCTGAGTAAGATCTGAGAGAATTGGAACAATATGAGGGCAATTTATTAATTCCATTTTTAGGGAGAAGAACGGACCCTTTATTAAAGCATGCAAATTTAGCCTCATGCATTTTAAAGGCAAGAAATTGTACAAATGATATATAGAACTTTTCTTGTCTCCTAGTAATAGGACTCGCTTTTTCCTGGGTGAAATTGGACTACAATTGACCTACACCTACTGGGGCTCAAGTGTCAATCTGACCAGCTTCGAGATAATGGAGAATGGAGAGAAGACACTGAATAATGAAGAGCTGGTGAGTAGAACTAACAGCAATGTGCTGTTGTCTGGGGGAAAAAAAATCTAATTACCTCTTAGGCCTTGAGAGCCCATGTCAGGAGAATACACACTGAAATGAATTGAACAGAAAAAAAAAGAAAAAAAAAAGAAAAAAAAAACATGAACCATGACCTTGTTACAACAGAGGTCTGCAGCGGAGATTCTCTGAAACCAAATCACATGATATCTTAAAGCAGATGACCAGGAGCAGCAACAGAGGACATCAGCAGCAGAGTTGCAACCTAAGGGCATATTCGCACACAATGTATGGTTTCCTTGAACCATGCCAAAGCACGCTTGTCCCCCTTTGCCCCGACGGCCTGCACTCACATTGCATCTGAATATGACACTTGCATTTTATGGGCCATGCGCCCTTATGGTTTACGTCTTTAATAAACTATGACAGTTTGCGTTCATTGAACAATAGTATGATAATAAATTCATATAAGGCAGTCCCTTAAAAGTGACGTTTCGTCTTCAGTTTTGGGCTCAGGCGCGCTTTGCACTTACACTCCAAGCATATCGTGCCAAAGCCCAAGGGAACTGCACTCTGACACACCTCTTCCAACCAGGCCAGGGCAGGCCAAGTGAACCGTGCCTGAGCTCGATTCAGAGCACTCACACTTCTCAAACGAACCAGAAAAAGAGCCTGGGCAGAGTTTGGATAGCTAAGTGTGACTGCGCTCTAAATCAACAATTCAAACAGGCACATCGCAATGATGGGAAAAGGTTTGCATAATCTTTAGACTGCATAGTCTCGATATTTGCTGTAAAAAAAAAAAACACTCAAATAATCAGATCAGGAAGTTGCAGCATTGTCAAAAAAGCTGTTATTTCAGTAGCACAGCACTGAATTACTGTATTCTGAACTGAAATGCCCAGCATGAGGATAATGACTTAAGGCTCCTACACACCGGAACGTATTTTTGTTTGCGTTTATCGTCAGCGTTTTACGAGACGTTTTTCAGTGTTCAAACCAAAGCGCTTTTCACTGGCGTCAAGCAGAAGAGTATGCTAAATCACTCTTTTGACGTTAGATGGCGCTGCACAACTATAAGCTTCTGACACCCAGTTATAACACAGAACAAGTGGAGGAGCAGAAGTTCACAGTCACACGCATGTTGTTAAATTTACTGGTCACTCGAACAAGCAAGGATGGTTCAAGCAGCAGCTCCAGCTCTAGCGATGAAGAAATTATTATTGTTTACCAGTTTTCTTCAATGTGCGCTCGCAATGACAGGTTTGCGCTTGAGCGCCTCCAAGTGCTGTTTACGGTAACTTCAGCAGCTCCGTGCATGTGAACAAAGGTGCCAATCTGATTGGTGGAGAAGGTTTTGACGCCGCGTGTCAAAACAAAAAAATGAGCATGAGGCGTATTTTTTTATTTAAATGACGCTTTTGCGCCGGGCGTTTTGCGCGTTGGTGTGCACACGCATATTGACGCCCTTTATTTAGTTATGAGACGTTAAACGTCGACGGAAAACGCAAGCAAAAAATGTCTTGGTGTGCACAGGCCTTAAGACTCAACTTTTTTATAGGGGAAAGTAAAATTGAAGCGAGGTGTCATAACACAGGGGAAGTTCCATTTACACATTAGCAAATGATTACCATAAAACAATAAATCAATTTTAGGTGCATCTCCCTCTCCGCTGGACTCATTTAATGACATAATGGCCAACATAATAAAAGAAATTCTAATTCTGTTTGTCCTGAATATAGGAACTCTAACACATCATCCTGACAGCAGCAGCTGAAACACAGAATACAATGGGTGATCCAGGGTGCATAGGATACCCCGAGCTCTCTTTAAGACACATATATGGTAAATTACCATTGGACGAGTTTGGTTAAAACCGATAATCTTGCCTGCCACCATCACAAGGCTACCTGTTCTATAGATGAATTACCCATTTGTAAACATTCAGGATGCGAGTGCATCATGTTTGCAGAAGAAAAAAAAAAACACAAAAAACGCTAGCATTTACAGCGAGGGAATGACATTCGATTTGGTTCAGAGTTTGTTGTTGTATTAGAAATAAGTTATATTGATTACATATTACATATATTATTTACATAATGCTTTCAGCGTATTAAAATAGCTGGTCACCCAGTGATAAGCTCAGTCATTGTGTGAAACTAACAATAAATTGAGCAGCGTTCATCTGACAGGTCCATTTGCGATAGCACCCTCCCAATAAATATTGGACAAGACGAAATGGCCAAGCATCCAGCCCCAAATATACAACCATCTCATTGAAGCTCCAAGTGATTTTACAAGAGAAGAGTTAAAAGGGCTACAAGTCTTTGGATGCCTACAACTTTGTTCTGTGTGTTCATGAGCAGGAAATAATGCTCCATGATTACCAGTTTTAAAACTTTGTAGTGTTAAAAAACAAGGTTTTGTCTAGCCAAAGACAACGAAATAAGACGGAACTGTACAAAGCCTGGGCAATCATCAAAAAACAAAACAACTGCAGACTGACAATGAACTATACCTGTGCGGCAGGGTATAAGAACTTAGATTTTTACATTTCATTCTAAGCATTCAGTGTCCACAGTTTAAATAAACATATTTAACTGTTTTTGCTGAAATCATGGCTGCCATCAAAAATGAGTAATGTGTATAATTCAGCATAGCGTGAACTGACCTGATATAAAATAAGAACTGCAGAGTCCAGCATTTTTAATTAGGTCCTCACCCTATTCAGTTCTTCTGATGGCTGTTAGCCAAAGAGGTCCGCCATAGACATTAAAAGCAGTCTGGTGGACTGTAAAATTCGATTTTGGCATCCTACCGCACAACACAACATGTTTGCTATTGCAACCGGACCTTTTATGCATTTGATATACGCAGTTGAACCCATGAGACATCATGTGTGACGTAGGTTGGTAATTCCCCTATTTGAAAGACTCAGATTACCATACCAAGTTACAATAAGGATAAAACAGATTCAATAAATTGTTTATTAAACAGTGTCATCACAGAGGTACAAACCGAAATTATCTGTTTCCTTAGGTGTGTAGCAGAAATATAAGACTTTAAACCATTTTAATGTTACTCAACTTTGCTAATAAACACAGTGAGTTGGTTAACTAGCAAGTTTTTTTAGTTTTGCTTTGGTACCAAAATTGGTACTGTGAACTGTGCATTTTCGCTGATACTGAATACTGATATTTCGATACCATGACAACCCTAGTGAAAACAACATGAAAGCACAGATCCATCCTGACCTGAATCAATGGTTCAAGCTGCAATAATAATGGTGTGAAGGATTTTTTAATTTTTTTTGGCAAACCTTGAGTGATTTAGTTCCAACCGAGTCTTCTTAAGTATTGTTGCAGACCACATCCATTTTGTTTGAGCGCAATGAAACCACCGTTGTGAGGGCTGCTTCCTCCAGGATATTGCATTATGTCACAAAGCTCAAATCTACTGAACCAAAATCTCTGAGGAAAGTTTCCAGCACCTTGTTGAATCTCGACAGCCTTGCTCTCTTTCAGCTCAACTCACCACCCACAAAGCCTCCCACACACCCACAGATAAACAAAGAGTCCAGAGTGAATTTCTCTGCTCAACAGTGAAGTAGGGGTCAGGAATCTTTCACCATCACACTATGCTGGGAATTTAGCAATAATGCAGGAAGAGTAGATTAATGATTGCGAGCGAATGCTTCAAGAGGTGATGTGAAGTATATAAAAAGACTCTTACCTGACAATCAAAGTCCTGGAAGTTCTGTCCATTCTGTGTGAAAAGACAAAGCGGAGAGAGAGAGAGAGAGAGAGAGGGAAATCAGCTGTGTCATTTGGTGATATCGCTTCCCCTGGATCTAAAGAGCAGTGATAGTCTCCACACTTTGAATCTCTTCTCAAGACCCATCTTTTTAAGCTGACTTTCTGTTGACTATTTTTCATCATATTATTTTATACTCACGATGTGTGTGTACCTGCAACTCCTAACATGCATTTGAAATCTTGTTTGGCAACGTTTTATTAATTGTTTTAATTTGTTCAGATATGGCTGTTGATGCTTTTAAGGTGACCTTGGGTGTCCAGAAAGGCGCCATTTACAAATAAAATGAATTATTATTTACTTTTATTATTATTATTATTATTATTATGAAACACCAGATAATGCAAGACTCAAGGCATTAGCAGCAGTGGCAGGTAATATAATTCTCAAGCAAACAACAGACTAACTCTGACCACAGAGTATCAACATAACAAACATCAACTTCTAAAGGTCAAATTGTATTTCTGCATAATGTGCAGGTGGTAGGTCCACCGTAGTCTTTGCTTAATTGGAAATCCTTTGTTTTACCCTGACACAATCCTCTCTTAACTACACTTTGAACAATGCAAAGCACAAGATCTGTGATTGGCCGGCTTGGTAGTGGTGACAAGTGGGGGCAGGGCAGAGAGCCATAGAACAGGGGTGAGCCCAAAGGTAAGAGTCTTCAAAGGGTCATGAAACAAGTGTTAGACGATAATAAAACACATCAGGTTACTGTGAGATTGGGTTTATGGTAGGGATAGCTGTGGATGTTAATATAACAGATCAGGTTAACGTAAGGTTGGGTTTAGAGTTGAGGTAGGTGTAGATGTTAATAAAACACATCAGGTTAACGTAAGGTTGGGTTTAGGGTTGGGGTAGGTGTAGATGTTAATAAAACACATCAGGTTAACGTAAGGTTGGGTTTAGGGTTGGGGTAGGTGTAGATGTTAATAAAACACATCAGGTTAATGTGAGGTTGGGTTTAGGGTTGGGGTAGGTGTAGATGTTAATAAAACACATCAGGTTAATGTGAGGTAGGGTTTAGGGTTGGGGTAGGTGTAGATGTTAATAAAACACATCAGGTTAATGTGAGGTAGAATTTAGGGTTGGGGTAGGTGTAGATGTTAATAAAACACATCAGGTTAATGTGAGGTTGGGTTTAGGGTTGGGGTAGGTGTAGATGTTAATAAAACACATCAGGTTAATGTGAGGTAGAGTTTAGGGTTGGGGTAGGTGTAGATGTTAATAAAACACATCAGGTTAATGTGAGGTAGAGTTTAGGGTTGGGGTAGGTGTAGATGTTAATAAAACACATCAGGTTAATGTGAGGTTGGGTTTAGGGTTGGGGTAGGTGTAGATGTTAATAAAACACATCAGGTTAATGTGAGGTTGGGTTTAGGGTTGGGGTAGGTGTAGATGTTAATAAAACACATCAGGTTAATGTGAGGTAGAGTTTAGGGTTTGGTTGGTGTAGATGTTAATAAAACACATCAGGTTAATGTGAGGTAGAGTTTAGGGTTGGGGTAGGTGTAGATGTTAATAAAACACATCAGGTTAATGTGAGGTAGAGTTTAGGGTTGGGGTAGGTGTAGATGTTAATAAAACACATCAGGTTAATGTGAGGTAGGGTTTAGGGTTGGGGTAGGTGTAGATGTTAATAAAACACATCAGGTTAACGTAAGGTTGGGTTTAGGGTTGGGGTAGGTGTAGATGTTAATAAAACACATCAGGTTACTGTGAGATTGGGTTTATGGTAGGGATAGCTGTGGATGTTAATATAACAGATCAGGTTAACGTAAGGTTGGGTTTAGAGTTGAGGTAGGTGTAGATGTTAATAAAACACATCAGGTTAACGTAAGGTTGGGTTTAGGGTTGGGGTAGGTGTAGATGTTAATAAAACACATCAGGTTAACGTAAGGTTGGGTTTAGGGTTGGGGTAGGTGTAGATGTTAATAAAACACATCAGGTTAATGTGAGGTTGGGTTTAGGGTTGGGGTAGGTGTAGATGTTAATAAAACACATCAGGTTAATGTGAGGTAGGGTTTAGGGTTGGGGTAGGTGTAGATGTTAATAAAACACATCAGGTTAATGTGAGGTAGAATTTAGGGTTGGGGTAGGTGTAGATGTTAATAAAACACATCAGGTTAATGTGAGGTTGGGTTTAGGGTTGGGGTAGGTGTAGATGTTAATAAAACACATCAGGTTAATGTGAGGTAGAGTTTAGGGTTGGGGTAGGTGTAGATGTTAATAAAACACATCAGGTTAATGTGAGGTAGAGTTTAGGGTTGGGGTAGGTGTAGATGTTAATAAAACACATCAGGTTAATGTGAGGTTGGGTTTAGGGTTGGGGTAGGTGTAGATGTTAATAAAACACATCAGGTTAATGTGAGGTTGGGTTTAGGGTTGGGGTAGGTGTAGATGTTAATAAAACACATCAGGTTAATGTGAGGTAGAGTTTAGGGTTTGGTTGGTGTAGATGTTAATAAAACACATCAGGTTAATGTGAGGTAGAGTTTAGGGTTGGGGTAGGTGTAGATGTTAATAAAACACATCAGGTTAATGTGAGGTAGAGTTTAGGGTTGGGGTAGGTGTAGATGTTAATAAAACACATCAGGTTAATGTGAGGTAGGGTTTAGGGTTGGGGTAGGTGTAGATGTTAATAAAACACATCAGGTTAACGTAAGGTTGGGTTTAGGGTTGGGGTAGGTGTAGATGTTAATAAAACACATCAGGTTACTGTGAGATTGGGTTTATGGTAGGGATAGCTGTGGATGTTAATATAACAGATCAGGTTAACGTAAGGTTGGGTTTAGAGTTGAGGTAGGTGTAGATGTTAATAAAACACATCAGGTTAACGTAAGGTTGGGTTTAGGGTTGGGGTAGGTGTAGATGTTAATAAAACACATCAGGTTAACGTAAGGTTGGGTTTAGGGTTGGGGTAGGTGTAGATGTTAATAAAACACATCAGGTTAATGTGAGGTTGGGTTTAGGGTTGGGGTAGGTGTAGATGTTAATAAAACACATCAGGTTAATGTGAGGTAGGGTTTAGGGTTGGGGTAGGTGTAGATGTTAATAAAACACATCAGGTTAATGTGAGGTAGAATTTAGGGTTGGGGTAGGTGTAGATGTTAATAAAACACATCAGGTTAATGTGAGGTTGGGTTTAGGGTTGGGGTAGGTGTAGATGTTAATAAAACACATCAGGTTAATGTGAGGTAGAGTTTAGGGTTGGGGTAGGTGTAGATGTTAATAAAACACATCAGGTTAATGTGAGGTAGAGTTTAGGGTTGGGGTAGGTGTAGATGTTAATAAAACACATCAGGTTAATGTGAGGTTGGGTTTAGGGTTGGGGTAGGTGTAGATGTTAATAAAACACATCAGGTTAATGTGAGGTTGGGTTTAGGGTTGGGGTAGGTGTAGATGTTAATAAAACACATCAGGTTAATGTGAGGTAGAGTTTAGGGTTTGGTTGGTGTAGATGTTAATAAAACACATCAGGTTAATGTGAGGTAGAGTTTAGGGTTGGGGTAGGTGTAGATGTTAATAAAACACATCAGGTTAATGTGAGGTAGAGTTTAGGGTTGGGGTAGGTGTAGATGTTAATAAAACACATCAGGTTAATGTGAGGTAGGGTTTAGGGTTGGGGTAGGTGTAGATGTTAATAAAACACATCAGGTTAACGTAAGGTTGGGTTTAGGGTTGGGGTAGGTGTAGATGTTAATAAAACACATCAGGTTACTGTGAGATTGGGTTTATGGTAGGGATAGCTGTGGATGTTAATATAACAGATCAGGTTAACGTAAGGTTGGGTTTAGAGTTGAGGTAGGTGTAGATGTTAATAAAACACATCAGGTTAACGTAAGGTTGGGTTTAGGGTTGGGGTAGGTGTAGATGTTAATAAAACACATCAGGTTAACGTAAGGTTGGGTTTAGGGTTGGGGTAGGTGTAGATGTTAATAAAACACATCAGGTTAATGTGAGGTTGGGTTTAGGGTTGGGGTAGGTGTAGATGTTAATAAAACACATCAGGTTAATGTGAGGTAGGGTTTAGGGTTGGGGTAGGTGTAGATGTTAATAAAACACATCAGGTTAATGTGAGGTAGAATTTAGGGTTGGGGTAGGTGTAGATGTTAATAAAACACATCAGGTTAATGTGAGGTTGGGTTTAGGGTTGGGGTAGGTGTAGATGTTAATAAAACACATCAGGTTAATGTGAGGTAGAGTTTAGGGTTGGGGTAGGTGTAGATGTTAATAAAACACATCAGGTTAATGTGAGGTAGAGTTTAGGGTTGGGGTAGGTGTAGATGTTAATAAAACACATCAGGTTAATGTGAGGTTGGGTTTAGGGTTGGGGTAGGTGTAGATGTTAATAAAACACATCAGGTTAATGTGAGGTTGGGTTTAGGGTTGGGGTAGGTGTAGATGTTAATAAAACACATCAGGTTAATGTGAGGTAGAGTTTAGGGTTTGGTTGGTGTAGATGTTAATAAAACACATCAGGTTAATGTGAGGTAGAGTTTAGGGTTGGGGTAGGTGTAGATGTTAATAAAACACATCAGGTTAATGTGAGGTAGAGTTTAGGGTTGGGGTAGGTGTAGATGTTAATAAAACACATCAGGTTAATGTGAGGTAGGGTTTAGGGTTGGGGTAGGTGTAGATGTTAATAAAACACATCAGGTTAACGTAAGGTTGGGTTTAGGGTTGGGGTAGGTGTAGATGTTAATAAAACACATCAGGTTACTGTGAGATTGGGTTTATGGTAGGGATAGCTGTGGATGTTAATATAACAGATCAGGTTAACGTAAGGTTGGGTTTAGAGTTGAGGTAGGTGTAGATGTTAATAAAACACATCAGGTTAACGTAAGGTTGGGTTTAGGGTTGGGGTAGGTGTAGATGTTAATAAAACACATCAGGTTAACGTAAGGTTGGGTTTAGGGTTGGGGTAGGTGTAGATGTTAATAAAACACATCAGGTTAATGTGAGGTTGGGTTTAGGGTTGGGGTAGGTGTAGATGTTAATAAAACACATCAGGTTAATGTGAGGTAGGGTTTAGGGTTGGGGTAGGTGTAGATGTTAATAAAACACATCAGGTTAATGTGAGGTAGAATTTAGGGTTGGGGTAGGTGTAGATGTTAATAAAACACATCAGGTTAATGTGAGGTTGGGTTTAGGGTTGGGGTAGGTGTAGATGTTAATAAAACACATCAGGTTAATGTGAGGTAGAGTTTAGGGTTGGGGTAGGTGTAGATGTTAATAAAACACATCAGGTTAATGTGAGGTAGAGTTTAGGGTTGGGGTAGGTGTAGATGTTAATAAAACACATCAGGTTAATGTGAGGTTGGGTTTAGGGTTGGGGTAGGTGTAGATGTTAATAAAACACATCAGGTTAATGTGAGGTTGGGTTTAGGGTTGGGGTAGGTGTAGATGTTAATAAAACACATCAGGTTAATGTGAGGTAGAGTTTAGGGTTTGGTTGGTGTAGATGTTAATAAAACACATCAGGTTAATGTGAGGTAGAGTTTAGGGTTGGGGTAGGTGTAGATGTTAATAAAACACATCAGGTTAATGTGAGGTAGAGTTTAGGGTTGGGGTAGGTGTAGATGTTAATAAAACACATCAGGTTAATGTGAGGTAGGGTTTAGGGTTGGGGTAGGTGTAGATGTTAATAAAACACATCAGGTTAACGTAAGGTTGGGTTTAGGGTTGGGGTAGGTGTAGATGTTAATAAAACACATCAGGTTACTGTGAGATTGGGTTTATGGTAGGGATAGCTGTGGATGTTAATATAACAGATCAGGTTAACGTAAGGTTGGGTTTAGAGTTGAGGTAGGTGTAGATGTTAATAAAACACATCAGGTTAACGTAAGGTTGGGTTTAGGGTTGGGGTAGGTGTAGATGTTAATAAAACACATCAGGTTAACGTAAGGTTGGGTTTAGGGTTGGGGTAGGTGTAGATGTTAATAAAACACATCAGGTTAATGTGAGGTTGGGTTTAGGGTTGGGGTAGGTGTAGATGTTAATAAAACACATCAGGTTAATGTGAGGTAGGGTTTAGGGTTGGGGTAGGTGTAGATGTTAATAAAACACATCAGGTTAATGTGAGGTAGAATTTAGGGTTGGGGTAGGTGTAGATGTTAATAAAACACATCAGGTTAATGTGAGGTTGGGTTTAGGGTTGGGGTAGGTGTAGATGTTAATAAAACACATCAGGTTAATGTGAGGTAGAGTTTAGGGTTGGGGTAGGTGTAGATGTTAATAAAACACATCAGGTTAATGTGAGGTAGAGTTTAGGGTTGGGGTAGGTGTAGATGTTAATAAAACACATCAGGTTAATGTGAGGTTGGGTTTAGGGTTGGGGTAGGTGTAGATGTTAATAAAACACATCAGGTTAATGTGAGGTTGGGTTTAGGGTTGGGGTAGGTGTAGATGTTAATAAAACACATCAGGTTAATGTGAGGTAGAGTTTAGGGTTTGGTTGGTGTAGATGTTAATAAAACACATCAGGTTAATGTGAGGTAGAGTTTAGGGTTGGGGTAGGTGTAGATGTTAATAAAACACATCAGGTTAATGTGAGGTAGAGTTTAGGGTTGGGGTAGGTGTAGATGTTAATAAAACACATCAGGTTAATGTGAGGTAGAGTTTAGGGTTGGGGTAGGTGTAGATGTTAATAAAACACATCAGGTTAATGTGAGGTTGGGTTTAGGGTTGGGGTAGGTGTAGATGTTAATAAAACACATCAGGTTAATGTGAGGTTGGGTTTAGGGTTGGGGTAGGTGTAGATGTTAATAAAACACATCAGGTTAATGTGAGGTAGAGTTTAGGGTTTGGTTGGTGTAGATGTTAATAAAACACATCAGGTTAATGTGAGGTAGAGTTTAGGGTTGGGGTAGGTGTAGATGTTAATAAAACACATCAGGTTAATGTGAGGTAGAGTTTAGGGTTGGGGTAGGTGTAGATGTTAATAAAACACATCAGGTTAATGTGAGGTAGGGTTTAGGGTTGGGGTAGGTGTAGATGTTAATAAAACACATCAGGTTAACGTAAGGTTGGGTTTAGGGTTGGGGTAGGTGTAGATGTTAATAAAACACATCAGGTTAATGTGAGGTAGGGTTTACGGTTGGGGTAGGTGTAGACGTTAATAATGCACAATATTGAACTCAGTGTCATGTACAAGACATTAAACAAACAAAACCCCTAGGATCTCGCTTGGAGCTCAAATCCCACTCAATTGGAGCTGGCTCCGAGCTCAGTTTATACTCTTCTCTGCTTTACAGGGTTAATCCAAGCAAAAACAAACAAACAATCTCTTGTTCTTGACCTCTGTCAGGAAGATTTTTCTAACACCATCTCATTGCTGCTAGTGATATCAGCAGCTGCGAGATTAGGATCTGAGGACATTCATACATCATCTCTCTGATCTCATTGCTCCGGTACGGCTCGGTCTCCAAGGGAACAGGCCCTAAGACGAGCACTTTGATGAGCCCCAATCCAGTAGTGCCAATCAGAGTGAAAGAACTGGAGTGGAGGGTCGAATCGCGGTTAAAGACGGAGAAGAGAAATGCTGACGTTGGCAATAAGATGCTTGTATGATGTGTGTAAACTCACCTTGTCCGTCAAGAGGGGTTTGATCTCGGTCAACTGCACATCCTGTAACTCATCCATCATCAAGCCTGACAGCTGCCCGTCACTAGAAAGAGAAAGACAGGGCAGGAATGGATTAGTACATCATTACAGTGAGGGCTGATTTATTGACCTGCCAGCCAAATGCTCATGAATACAGGATTACAGTAAACAGGGCACAGCGTGTGTGAGAGAGTGAAAGAGAGAGAGAGAGAATTGATGTTTAACACCCTGTGTAATAACCGCCATTGTCCTTGTTAACAGAATTCAGATGAGCGCATGTTTAATTCATGATTTAACTCTCCGTGGTCATCCTGAAGGTCAATGCATGCAACTGTTTCAGTAAGGACATTATGTAGGCTTATGTCACGGTTATAATGGTCGCTGGGTGACTTGGTGAAGCTTGGTGTCACAAAAAAAAAAAAGGTTGTGTGTCTTCTGTTCTCCTTCAGAAGTTAAAATATCATTGTGCTTGTGCAGAAAGAAAGCGAGCAAAAGCAGATACGAATGCTTGGCCGGTGTATTAAACGCATGGTTCCTTTGAGCATACTTCAAGGGATGCATTGGCAACTAATTTTCCAGCTGTAATGTGACTAATTTCCTAGTCTAACATGATTTTGAAAGAGAAAAAACATGTAGGGTGACTTGATTTTATCCTTTGGGAATGAACTGGATGAGGAAATGTAGGGAAAACTCAACTATAATAGGACATCACAGCATACAAATACTTTTACCAAGTTTTAAGTGATCTTATGCTCACAATGGATGCATAAGAGAAAACCGGCATATTGAAAAGTATTATTACAATTACATTTTTTGCAACCCTGTACTTCAATCTCAAACTTTAACATATTTTAAGGATTTTTTTTAATGACTCATAATATGCTTTCATCATTATAATATGCTCAATAAACATTTATTGTTGTTATTATGGGCAGACTTTATCTTAAAGAGCCCATATTATGGGTTTTTGAAAATTCCACTCCATGTAGTGTGTAACACAGCTCTAAGTGAAGTGAAGTATCCAGCTAAGGTTTAAATCTGTTAGTGTACAGTGTTTAAAACTGTTGATTCATCTATAAAAGAGTCGACTCATAGTGCTTCAAACGAGTCGCCTTGATACCGATTCATTAGGTGTTTCGCCATGACGTACGAACGAAACCAAGTTATTCACGTGCACGCGCAAACCCGGGAAATTTCAAACCTGAGGCCCCGCCCTCTGACGCAGAAACCCAGACACACACACACACACACACACACGCACACACACACACGCACACACACACACGCACACACACACACACACACACACACACACACACACACACACACACACACACACACACACACACAAACATGCCGGTCGATTGAAGTCACACTGCAGATGGATATATTGAGTCTCTACCCAAAGATGAAACCTCAGCATTATAGCCAAGCAGTTGGAAACTACTGGGAACTTCTGGAAACTACATGCTACAAAGAATACTTCATCAGCGTTTGTTAAAGGAAGGATCAGTAAAGAGTAACTTACTGATGGACGTCAGGATGGATTTTTCTTCCTCAATTTCTCAAGTGTAAGTACGTGCGATTAAAGTTGTCTCGTTGACTCTAGCTTGCAAATGTATTTAGTTGTGATTTGTTACTTGTAACCGCGTGTACTGTATCAGGTTAACTGGCTATATTCTCTTATCTTGTGCAAAGTCACGTTAAAAATGCGACGCGTGCTGCTTTGTTAACGGAGCTCCATGGACGAGGAGTAGTGTGTGTGTCTGTGTGTCTGTGTGTGTGTGTGCGCGCGCTGTCGTCCAGAGGTGTGTGTAATTGTGTGTGTGTGTGTGTGTGTGTGTGCAATATGTGTGTGTGTGTGTCTGTGAAAAGAGCAGAGTGAGAAGCTAGGAGATCTCCTCAACTGTTTTTGGAGTTTTTGCTCAATAAAATAGTTAGTCGTCTGAATTTTCAAGTAATATGGGCTCTTTAAGGTATAGTTCTCAATATTAAAAAAATATTTAAAAAATCATTAACTAAGGGCCCTATCATACACCAGCCGAAATAAGGTGCAAGATGTGTTTGCCGCGATTTGTTGCTATTTTATTTTCAGACCAGCGCAACCCTAATTTTTACATTTTGCTCTATGTTGTTTAAATAGCAACTCCATTTGTGTCACTTTGTGGACTCATGGGTGTGCTGGTCTGAAAAAAGGTGTGTTAAGGCGCATTGTTGGCATTTTGTTATTTTGAGGAACTGAAATAGACAGCACCATTGACCAATTAAAAGCTGGTCTAGAGCAGAGCATGTTAACTAAAAGCGCCTATGCAGCTCCAAACCCACAGGATGTACAACAATACACAATTATCTTTATCTTTAAAACATATTATTTTCTACATAAATATAAAAACCACTGCCTCCATGACTTCTTCACCTCGAGGAGCTTTAATTCCATTTATTCATGACAATTTGCATTTGTATTGCATTTGTGATAATGTTATTACTAGTATTATTATTTATTGTAGGCATTTTTAAATTTGTTTGCATAAAAACAAGTTTAGTTTTGTCGCCTGTCAGGTTTTGGAGACGTACTGTATGCATCACCATATGGGGCATAAGAATAGGATGTGTTTGGATATAACTCTATAATTTATAATATAATACATCTATAATATAACTATTATGGTTCATTTACCAATTTAGAAATATTTCTGAAACAAATCTTTGCGCTTGAACTAAATTAAATATGTAGGCTAATGGATGTCAACAGTGGAGTGCGTGCAACACTGTTTCCTTATCCAGGAAAGTAAAGGAGTAAAGAGTAAAAGTAAAGTAAAGTGAAAGTAAAGAGGTCGAAAGGAAGAGGCTCAATCTTTATCCACGCACTGCAAATGGTCTGTTTAACTGTTTTCTCACTAGTAAAGCGTTCAGTTTTTCTACTTACAAAGTCTGTCATGTTAATAGCAAATTCGGCATGGCACGACACAAATGACTAAAAAAGGGAATACAAGATGAGACTCTGTCTGGTTTAATGTATGTTATGCTAAAAACAGACCGATCACTCATTAAGAGAATAAGCACAACCCTGTTAGACCATGCGCCAGGGCACAAACTGTATTTTTATGTCCTTAAAATACAAAAGAGCCCTAAGACTTTTAGCTAGGGATGCACAATATAGAATTTCAGAATCGACATAGCAATGTGTGCATCTGCAGTAGTCACATCGCAGTAAATGCAATGTTGAGTTTGGATTACAGATGATCAGAAACCACAGGTCAAAACACATGACATTTGTGGAGTCACTGCAGAATTGAACCATAGAGTGAAAGTTTCTCATCTGCAAGTGTTTTTAGGGCCTGTGACTGAGAATTTGAAGATAGTATAAAGCATTTTAATAGTGCATAAAGAACTTTATTTTATTGCATATTAATAGTTATATGATAAAGATGCAGTGTTATTTTACATTTATTAAACTTCTGTACCCGAATACTACAATAAAAAGCACAGTTTATTTCAAATGAATGTTTGCTCCAACGTATTTAGTTATGACTGTAGTTTGTTTATTATACATACATAATAATTTACATAAAATATATTTATATTTCACTCTCCTACAAATCATCCCAATCAATCTAATTTAATGACTCTCTAAGTAAAGTCATGTTAATATTTCAGTTGTAATTAAATCGTATTTTAAAATCACAAAATATATCGCCAAAAGGGCTGCACAGTGCCTCACAGTAAGAAGGTCACTGGTTCGAGCCCCAGCTGGGTCAGTTGGCATTCTGTGTGGAGTTTGCCTGTTCTCCCCATGTTCTCGTGGGTTTCCTTCGGGTGTTCCGGTTTCCCCCACAGCCCAATGACATTACTATAGGTGAATTGAATATGCTAAATTGGCCTAGTTTATGTGCGTGAATGCAAGACTGTAAGAGTTTTTCAGTACGGGGTTGCAGCTGGAAGGGTATACATTGTGTAAAACATTTTCTAGATAAGTTTATGGTTCATTCTGCTGTGGTGACCCATGATAAATAAAGGGACTAAGCCAAAGAAAAATAAATGAATGATTGAATATCACAGAGGGAAAAATATAGCTTTGTCAAATTTTTCCAATATCGTGCAGCCATACCTTTATCTATTATATTTATTATTGTTTAAGTATTGGGTAAAATTAGGGATACAGAATAAGATCATGTTGAGTTTGTGCTATATAGATCCTAAACAACAGCCGGTATCGTAAAGAGGTAGTCCAGAATGTAATTTTAAGGCTTGGTTGTGTTAATAAGATGCAAAGCAATGTGTGCTTATGTTTCACTTGAAGGAAATCATGTTATTTTTTTCATAAATCTCAATTTGATTATACACAGCTACTCAGCTAACATGAAAATGACTGATATATATACTAGTTCCTCTGAAAGGCCCACCCTCAAGTGACTAATTGGTCTTGTGTCATAATGTGCTGCGATTCGCGGATAGGCTCCATGTCACGCCCGTACAAGCATGCACGTTTTATGTAAACAGTCAGTCAACCTCATGCTCCCTCCCTAAAATATTCTCTGACCAGTGTCTGTAACGAGTGAAAATGGGGTGCGGCTCCTTTAAGAGAGTGTGTGTATGCCATTGTGTGTGTGTGTTTATGTGTGTGCGTGTGTATACTATGAACTATCTGTTACACGAGAAGCGCATGTGTGGGAGCGATGTTTATTTTTCTTTTGCTCTCATGCTCGGATTAAGTTATTTTCTGTGATGACGCTGGTGACAGAAGAATAAGCACTAGATGTGGGATGCGACCTGTGTGAGCCTTGATTGATTTTTTTGCTGCTACACACTAGTTAGGGGAGCTCTCCTATATTTTTTTTACCTCAACGCATTACACGGCGTCTTTCACACATATCCGGAATATGCCTGTGTAAGTAACAAAAATTATTCACATATCTTTTGCGTTTTATTATCTGAGATGTAAAACGCATGGAAAAGCTGCCTATATAGAGAAACAATGCAAAGTCATGCACACACATATACAGAGGCTGCACGCGCCGGTAAAGTGTGTATGTGTGTGTGTTTATAGCAGTTTGACTAATAAAT